AAACTCTTAGATTCGCCCCTGGATGTATGATAATATTTGCTCCTCTATTGGTCGCCATAGACTTCATCGTTTTCAATTGGAAAGTTGCAAGATGGTTCCACAGAGTTCTAGTGATCAATCTTATCAATTGATTGGAATGTATGTGTTCAATATACAAATGAATACAACATACCTATTTTTCAATGCCCTTGAGAGCAAGTAACAAGTCATATACACCATCGTGCACGTGCAATTCTAACGGTAACATTATGTTTTATTTTCATTTGGCAACACGATTCTCTTACTCGTATGAATTATTTGCTTAAATAAGTAATTGCTCATTAGATTTGCCATGTCACACCTAATTCAAAGTCAAGAATATAAAATGCGACTAAACTTTCTTTACTTTCATTTTGCTAAGTGTAGATGTTTGCTCTTAGAAAACTTGGATGCCAACTTTTATATGCCTCGACTCATTTCTTATCTTTTAATCTTCAATTCACCTTTCATGGTATCTTATTTGTCATATTCTTCTCATTGCATACAGTGAAAAAAAGTTGCTAAAAATGTCAAATTCCTTCTTTCGTAGCATCCAAGCGACTAAGCTTTTCAAAGATACAATCATAAGTATAATTATATATAAACAAATCTCAAAACAAATGAAGATTTAAGTATAAACTAAGTAAGGTATTTATTTATGAAAGAAAGTTAAAAGTTTCATAAATTAAAAATGAAAGACAAATTATTTAAGGGAAAATTTGATTATAAGTATGATTGAAAAGTTAATAAGATTTTTAAATCTCGAAGTACATGATTAAAATTGAAATCTAACCCGTCAAGAAATTGATAAAATTTTGGCAAATTTTTATCAACGTAATATGTTTGGAATATAGAGTCGAGAGCATCTCTAATAGACTATTTCTTTTTTTAAATGCGTATCTGTCATATTAGGGAGAATTTTTTAATTTAAAGAGTATAATATTTTATACACTTTAATAATCTCTTTATTTAATTTTTTCTCTTTATTTCATTTCTTCCAACATTTATTTTGTTGTTTTTTCCCTCATTTTTCGATTTATGATTCTCAAATAATTAATATAGTTCTAAATATACATATACAACCTTTTTTATCAACCAATTCTGTGTACGAGACTTGTACTTAACTCAAATTCAAACAAGATCTTACTTATTTAGTCGAAGAAATAAGTATTTTTCATTTCCATTCTATTTTTTTCACATTTTATAATTATTTAGATTCGAATCAGGTTAATAAAGATTGGGCTAAGATGATTTAAAAAATAATAATAATAATAATAATAATAATCACGTCTAATCCCGAAACTGCCGGCACTCGGCACAACACGTGTTGAGTTTCTAGGGTCAAATCGCTCTAACTTCTCCCATTGCAATAGCAAATTTCAAGTTTTAATTCGCAATTCTTAAACAAGCAGGACAAAGTAAATTAATTTTAAGTTTTAATTTTACTCGAAAATGATGGAATCAAATATTTATTTTTCAAAATTATTTTATCTTTTCCTACCCCATCTTATTCTTTATGCTTAATTTTTATTATTTTATAAAACTATTTAGCTTTTATATTTTAGAATGACAAAAACGTTCACATTTATATTATGCTACTTAACCGAAAATACTAAGGTAATTTTTTATCTTTAATAGTTTAGAATAAAGATGTGATAATACAGAAGGTGATTAATGGGAATTAAAATTAGATTTTTTAATGGATTGTGAATATGTTATAGAAGCTTTTGAAATGTGTGGTTTAAAAGTTGTGGGACTCGTGAAAGATGTGATTAATATTAATTGTTTCACTTTGATTTAAATTAAAATCAGATTTTAATCCATACCAAACACGCTCTCAATATATGAAAGCTTATTCGCAAAATGGCCTCCAACTTATTAACTCGCTATGGAAAAGGACCTATCCTTTATTGGAAGCAAGGTCCTGATCTGTTTTTTAAGAAAAAGAACAAAAACCTAAAAAAGAAAATAGAAATATTTCAAAGTGGAAATTACAGGAAACCATGCTATTAAAATTAACATTTCAAAAATCAAATCCAAGTTTTGTATATTCACAAATCGGAAATTAATTTAATTATTATAAATCAATATATTATTATAAATTAATTTATATTCATAAACCCTACCCTAAAAAGGACCAAGACATTCTCTCATCTCCTATCATTTTCTTGACTGTCATCAAGTTGTCGCTGCAGCAACTCCTCTTGTGCGAGGGCCGCTACCACAACGGCTAGTCGCAAAGGAGTGATTTGAAGCGGCATCACAGGTTGATGGTGTTTGTGTTGTCGTGGTGGCTGTGGTGGTTTGTGAGGTGGCATTTGTCGTGGTGGAGTTGGAGATTGGGTGAGTAACAGCGTTGCAATGTGTTTGTACGGTGGTGATGGTGATTGTGTGGTAGTTGATCTGACGGTTCGGGTGATTTGTGTAGTGGCGGGGCGGCGTGGTGGATTGGGTGGTAGTGGCGGTGGCGGGCGTCTCCCTTCGTCTCTCTTCTCATCTCCTTCTCCCTTTCCCTCACTATCCTCACTGTAGCACCTCGATTGGATGTGCGATTGTGCGGGTGGTCACTGCAGCGTCGCGATTTTTTATTCGATCTACTTAGTGCGGTGGTCGGCGTCAACGGTTCTTGTTGCAGGTGGTCTTATGTGTGGGAATGGCATTGGTGACACGATCTGGTGTCGGTGGTGGTTGGCGATGGTACGGTGCTCTGGAGTGGTGGGATGGGGAATGGGTAATGTTGGTGTTGTAGTGGTGGTGGGCAGCATCATTGATGGAGGTTGGCGGTGGGTGGTGCTTTTGGAGTGGTGGAATGGGGACCCGATTGTGACGATTTTATTGGTTGATTGAAAGTTGTAACCGATAAATTGGTTAATTTGTGAGCACTGTCGTGGTGATGGTGGTGTTGCTGGAGGCGGCGTTGAAGTGGTGGTTGTAAGTGTTTGTGATGGTCATAGATTATTTGATTGATTGTGGCCAGTGAATTAGTTAATCTGTGACTAATAAACAATACGTGACCAATAAAAAAGATAAATTGTGACCAAAAAATAATGTGTGACTTAAAAAATTAATAATTTGTGATCGTCTAATAAGTTGTGACATATAATATTTGTGATCTGTGACCTACAATTTTTTTGTTCGTGATCGAAAAATAATATATGACCTATAAAAATTTTAATTTGTGATCGAAAAATAAGTTGTGACAAAAAATTAATCCGTGACTAATTAATTTTTTTAACTGTGACTAATGAACAAATTGTGACCTAAATTTTTTTTTGAATTATGATCGTAAAATAGTTTGTGATATAAAATTTCTAATTTGTAACTAAAAAATAATAAGTGACTAATTAAATTGTTAATTTGTGATCAAATTTTATGGATATCTGACCTAAATATAATTAATTAATTAATTAAATCATAAATAAATTTTAATAAAAATATTATTTTTATAATTTGAAACTTGTTTTCTTAATTTTAAAATATACCATACTTAATATCTAAATTATGAAATTTTCCTATTTCAAAATAGAAATTATTGCCCAGCCCGGCATGTAGGATGTGTTGGGCCTAGGAGCAACCCATCCCAATCCATTAAAAACTCGGGCCTTGACAGCCCAGCCCATCCTGGACCCCGATTTCGAAAATGCTCGTGCATATAACCAATGGAAAAATTCATAAATAATATATTAAGTATGGTACATTTCAAAATTAAAAAAGAAAATTTCAAATTTCAAAAGTAAGATATTTTAAAATTTTATTTATAAATTAATTTATTGAACATATATTTTACTAATTAAATATATTGAGGTCAAAATTCTATATAATTTAGTAACAGTTATCCAATTAATTTTCACACGTTAATATTCAATCACAAATCAAAAATTTTATAGGTTACAGATTATTTTTCGATCACGAATAAATTTTTTTATAGATTACAGAATATTCATCAATCACAGAATCAAAATTTTTATTAGTCACAACTCATTTTATTCATTACAAATTATTAGATTGATTGGTCACGGTTAATTTTTCGATCACAACTTAATCAATTATGAGTTACATTCACAATTTTTTGGTCACATATTACAAATTAACAAATTATTAGTCACGCTCAACCAAATAATTGGTCGCAAGCATCCAACCTCATCTCATCCTACCCAAGACCACCATCACTAACACCGACTCACAATCTGAAACCCAGAAATAGAACCCAAAAAAGCTAGCACTGCTACACTGTCACCACCGCCATCGCCGCCAAGCCATCGCCACCTCACAAATTGAAAACTCTCAAACAAAGACAGATACAAAAAATCCAACACCAACACCTTCTCAATCTGAAAACTCACAAACAAAAATAGAAATCAAAAATCCAGCACCACACCGCCACTACCTCACAATATGCAATCCACAAACGAAAATGGAAACAAAAAAAAAAAATCGGGCACCACCTCATCACCACAACCTCACAATCCGAAATCCACAAAAAAAGGGAAACAAAAACTAAAAAGCAAGCATACTAAACATCACAACAACCATCTTCTCTATCGCCATACCACAAAAAAAAAAAAAAAAAACTCCAAACTTGTCGTCGCCGACGCCACCCTTACGACCATCTCAGATCCATCATATCCTTCATCAGGGCGCTCGACGATTGTATGCAACGGTGGTTCAGTACATGATCACTGCCTGCGACACAGCAACTGTGTGCATCTATTGTTGCAAGGCGCCCGTTGCGTTGATCACGTGTAACGATCACACGTGCCCCTAGAAGATGAGCGCTGTCGATTACGTGGCATCGCCAATATAGAGAGGGTGGGTGGTATAGAGAGACCGACGTCATAGGTATAAAGGTTGAACCCCAACCTTAAGGGTCCCCTATCGTTCCTACCCTGGAGTATCATGAGGGAGGTAAATCGCACGTTATGCCTCCAAGGGTACAGGGTGGAAGGCTGCTTGTACAATTGCACTTACCCAAGAGCCAAATCCATACTTCAGGATTCGAACCCTTGACGCGGCAGCCTCAAGCAAAGCTGAATTTCTCCACCCTCCCCTTTTACCACTTGGAGATGTGCTCTGGGGGCAACTGACGTCATAGGTATAGAAAGCATGGGTGGTAGAGAGAGAAAGATGAGGGACTAAAATGAATTAGGGTTTGGAGGGTGCAAATGTGTAGGGATAGATAGTGGGTGTAGTGGATTGGGGTGTGTAAATTAATTTAATTTTATGAAAATATTAATATTTAAAAAATAATTTTTCGTCTGATTTTCGAATAATGAATAATGAAACTTCCAACCTAATTTTAGAATACTGAATTTTTAAAGTAGGGTGTGGTATAATTTCGTAACCAAGCTATAAGCAACCAACTCACAAAATAAAGAAAGAAAAATTGAATAAGAATCCCCTTGCAATTTCTAAATACGAAAAGAAACAAAAATGATAAAAATCAGACTATCACAAGATAAAATCAATTTCACGTACAAAATGCACATTTGTAAAATGCTTATCTACGCATAGTCCCCCCTCTCACTGTACAAATAATAGCCACATAAAACTATGAGTAGTAACTCGTAAGTGGTTCTTGATGACATTCTCTCATCAAAAAATTCCAAGCAAGCAATGCAGCACCCACAGCAGGTTCCACCTAATTTATTCACATGTAAAACATAAGATGGAAAAAATATTAATTAGAACAAGGAAAAGAGGACCAACTGAACCCAAAACAATCATATACTTTATGACCACAAAATATGGAAAAGACGACATTTTCGGATAATATTACATATTATTGCTCTCTGGTTTCCACGACCAGCTGGTATTTTGCAGACTCAATTTTCTGATAGTTTATTGGATCTTTCAGAATTCGAATAGCATGTGATATTGCAGTGCTAGAAGCCAGATACTAATATTTCGAACCGTTGCATCTAATCATATTTACCGAACACAAATAAACATTCTACAAGCAAGAACTATATGAAAAGTTGAGCAGAAGGATATATTTATATATGCTCTACCTTTGGACGGATAGGCCGAACCCCAGGGAAGTCCTTTGAGATGCAATTCATTACCTCATTACCAATGTCCCATCTCTTGTTGGCGTCAAGGACGCCACCAACCATTACAAGAGGAAAATAATCCTTTCCATCTGCAGTTAGGTAATTGTATAAAATATTTCAATTAATACGAACAGCTGCTGCAGGATTTTGTCCTCTTGCGTAATATTATGTATTAGTATATCAAATGGATCGGATGAGGAGAAATATTATGTACAAGAGAACCTCTCTCCCTATTCAAGAATATCGCAAGCAAATCTCAGTCTAAAATATTATGCAGCTAGTTATTGAAACAATACTGACAAGAGATGATATGACACAAATGCCACAGACTAAAGAATGAAAAGCTCGACCAATAAATAGTATATGATGCAGCTTGTCCTTGCAACCCTAAAACATTTCATTAAGCTCTTTGAGCATTTTTTTCCATTACTTGTGAAGTTGTGTAAGAGAAGTCTGTATTATTTTGAAAAGGTTTTCTTTCTTTCCAGTTTATTTGAAGATACAGAATGTGGTTGGTGATGCTATCTCCTTCCCAATGCCACCCAGGGATAAAAAGGAAGGAAGAAAATGTCATTATGGATTCAGAATTTTGAACACATCAAGAAGAGAATGGGTGCTCTTGGACACCCAGAGGCTAGCAATATCTCACCACAAGCAGGTCAGCTTTCAGAAAATAACTGGTGAGATTTCAACAACTCCTTCAATCATGTATTAAAGTAACTGAAGGCATATCTCTATTTCCTAGGTCTTGCCTCTGTACATGAAAAAAGAAAGGCTAGGACCAACCTGCAAGTAAATGGATTAGGCACCCACTGCAACCTTTATGTGATAGCATAAAGGTGGCTTCACATGGTGGATATGTCAATAGGAGTTGAAACCACATAGCAGCAGATCTTATGTGGAGTGGTGCGGCACATGCAGTGTGTGTATTCTGATATCGGTTGGCACTTGGAAAGGGATTCTGAAATTGACTGCAAAAATGCAGCAAGGAATTTCATTATCTAGGTAAAGGATGAAACCCTTTATAGGTGGTATAGAGGCATTTTCTAAAGCTATTGGAAATTTGGAATTGGGTTGGCAATCTGGGACTTGTGCAATATTTTGTAGGTTACATATGTCAACGCTTCTTTAGTTCTTTAGGAGAAACAATGTCATCCATCCCATGTAAACTTCTGGCGAGAGAAAGTATAAAGATCATATCCGCATGGCATATTTCAAAAACTCTAGGCTTTGAGAATTCACATGTCAATTCATGAATTCAAAACCTCACCTTCACCACATAGATCAAGTCTCTGGACTACAGCCTTCACACTCGAAGACAATTCTTGGACAGCATCATGCAAGATCTTGTTTGCCACCAGATCGCCTGCTTCTGCACTAGAAACCACAACAGGAACAAGAGCTGCAATCCGAGCCCAAGATGGATCTGCATATGTCCACCTAAAATCAAATTCAAGTCACATTTCTGGCCTGTTACCATTCTATCAACATATTCTATAATTAGTTAAATCTACATAACATGCAAGAAATCAGAAGAAAATTCAACCTAAATTGCACGTAGAGAAATTACCTACTGAAAGAAGAAATAAACCAGTGTGTCCAAAAAAGATGCAAAGTTAAACTGCACTACAACCCAAAGTAACTCAACACACAAACTAAGCTTCAAGGAGCAATTATATTCTTATTGCCACTCCCAAAAAAATTAATGATACTCGAAATAACATTAGTGCCAGTAGCCAAATTATCATTGGCCATAAAATATGACCAACCGAGTTATTGAACTCCTTTGACTCATTTACTCCCCAACAGTGAAAGACCATTACTGCCAGGCTAAATCATCATTTGCCATTGACTATAACCAGCTGAATATTTAGCTCCCCAATGCTGATTTATTTACTCCCCAGCAGTCAAAAGATCAATTCTCTTTGCATCAAGGTACAAGAAATTTTTAATAAAAAACATGACTTCACCTTATCTTTTTTATTCTGTTTAACAAAATAGAGCTAAACTTGTTAAAAACATAGTATATACAGCATGGAGAACAAGACATCATCAAATGGAGTGTCGAAAAGAATCTAAAACACGTTACAAACAAGATAGAGTCTACTAACTACAATGCTGATCAATAAGCACTACCCTATTGGAGAGCCTTAGATCAACATTATGGCTCGAAAACATTTTTAAACCAAAATATAACTACAATGCTGTTGTCAATAAGATCAAAATATAACTAGCACTAACATATAATATTTTAGCAGTAATTATTTAAGCATTATAGCTTACCCGATAAGTTCATCTGGTGAAGACAGGTTGAGTTTATGCAAGATACCAAGTGTAAGTGAAGTCTGTGGACCACGACCATCATGAGCCCGTATTACTGCAGTCAGTGCCTGTGCAGCTATACCATATCCACTGGAAGGAGAAGAAGATTATCAAAATTCAATCAAAGTATGCAGCACAAATAAAATTCTTGGAATATTAAGGAAACCCAAAGTAAAGAAAATAAAACGCGTGTGAGCAAGTGAAACCCCAATTAATTAAGAATCTATATCCAGATTCGTTGGAGAGATGTACTTGGAAATATATCGAGATTGCACACATAAGATCCAGATCCGTCTCCACTGGATTCCAGCTCCTGACTGCTAGGACGTAGCTGCAGCTCTAGGTCATAACAGCTCATTTATCCCTTAGATGAGAAGTGTTGGATTTTACAACTACTGTCATCAACCAGACTTAATGTCTTTTGAATTCCTGTTCGCTGTAGCAGGGGGCAATACAAGTATAATATTACCTTGTGTATTTTCACTAGCTACTGCAGTCCCATATGACTGATCTTAGGGATTCTGTTATTATAAAATTGAAAACAACATGAATCCGGACTAGAGCTTAAACCAGGACCCTGAGGCGTATTCTATCCTATCCATAAACATGTGGAAACAGGAAATGTGGATCACTCCTCAGAATGCAGTTTTTCATATGCTTGGTCAGAAAAATCATTGCTGCCAAACTATTATTGGAACTTGAAACCATTAGTCGGACAACGTCAGCCTTAATTTTGCTGTTCCACCTTCCACGAATGAGAAATGCCATTTTTCCAGTTCCCGTAAAATCACATCAACTATTGTGAGAAGGAGAAGAGGATTGCAATAAGGAAAGGGATGGTAAATCAACTCAGGAAGATGGAATATACAAGCACTATGAAGCATTTACCTTCCCCAGTCACCTAAAATGGGTCCTGCACCAGCAGCCCAAGCTTCTCTTCCATCTTCTGTAAATCCATAAGCAATGGTACCTGTACTAGCTATGAGAACACACCCATGAAGCTTTCCCATTGTCCCACTTGCCAAAGCTGCCACAGCATCATTCTGAACAAATAATCTGACATGGCTGGGGAATATTTCTCTAGAAATGGAAAGAAAGAATGAACTTAGGGACAGCAAAATATTGATTAACAGAGATACCAGACTTAACAGGAAAAAATTGTTCAATCATAAGTAACAAAAATTTGATATAATAGCAACAGACTCAAAATAATATAGAAATTATCCAATTAAATAAATATGTAGAGAATGGAGATATAAACACTTCACTCCTTTGCAAAGTGTCTAAATTAGTATGCAGTAGGAAAGATCTAATGTATCATTTATCATTAATCAAGGGTCCATGTTAAGCATCATGTCCCAAATTGAAAAGTAGTCAAACGTCATGCTCTTTTTCTCCTACTGATGACCTCAGAAGAGTTCAATGGAGACGGATCATAACAAGGAATGGACATCAAAATTTAAATGTAAGTCACTGGCACCCATGTTCTTCAAAAGCCAGCGCTTTAAAACACTTTCAGATTAAACACAAATTAGAAGCAAGAAGCTTCACATCTGCAGTTAGGAACACCAAGTTATGAGGATATACTTTTTTATTACTCACAGTAAGCTTGAAACAGTTGTGTGTTGCATGTAAATATAACATGATTTATATCAATTAGACAAGTGTACCCCAAAATGGATTACTAAATGTGTTACAGAGGTTTATTGGCATTTTTACTGAATGTGATGCAACACGAATATAGAGCAACTTACTGTATTATTACTTTCTCCTGAGTCCAAAAGAGTTTTAACCTAAATCAAAGGTATCAAATTGTCATTTACTATTCAAAAAACTCCAGGTTATGAGTATTTATATCCAATTGCTTCCTTTGTCTTCTTCACAGATGTTTCTGTATCTTATGTCTTCTCTTCCATATTTGATTGAACTTTCCAATCCCTTTAAGTTCCAATTCCACACGAAGACCTGAGGTTTTCTTTTTCGCAACCATTTTTCTTTTTTACTTTCTCCTTCCGCTCTTGATACAATTTTCATAAGATACCCCAACAATTCCAAATAGTAATCCTCCAAATCCATCCCAGACCTCCATCCAGTCCATCTTTTCTGAGGTCATTCAGTACCATCCCCTCAATTCATATAATGCTAGGGAAAGGATCTCTCCCTGAGTGGTTCCAAATGCCGACTCATCTACACTATCATCAAAACCTCCACATCCATCCCAGACATCCGCCCAGTCCATCTTTTCTGAGTCCATTCAGTATCATCCTCTCAATTCATATCATTACAAGGGAAAGGATCTATCCCTGAGTGGTTCGAAATGCCAACTCCTTTACAATATCATCAAAACTTTCTGATAGACATTGTGATGGATATAACAAGACTCCATATGTTGTGTGCAGGTATCAAATGAATTGCACAACTAAATGTCTAATTACTACTGCACAAATACATATAATCTTCTTTACTACCAGCATCAAATTAAAACATATCACTTCTTCTGTTTTGTAAATTTTTGCGGATCCATTGCTAAAGTTTTTCCTTTTATTTCAGTATAAATCGAATTTTATGTGCAAGTGTCCCCTTTATTTGTTTTTAAAGGGGGGAGGGGAGGAGCATTAAAAATTTCAGAATAACAAATGATGAGCCAGAGCAATACAAGTAAACTGTATAGTTGAGTGTGTATGTATAGTTAAGTGTGTATGGCAGGAAATCTTTGAGAAGCAAACCTAAGCCAATTAAGTATACGATCCTGATCTGTGGGATGGTTAACGCCAGCTACAGAAAGACAGACAGCTTGAACAGCAGAACGAGTAGAAGCTGCCTTTGTAAGAGCATCCGCCATAACTTGCTCTAATGTGTCCCTAGCAGCAGATTCTGTAAAACATAAAGAAGCATCGGGAAACAAAACATACAAAGGGGCTTGTAATTTATTGCAAAAATATTGGGAGAAACATATGTCAGCCACACATTTTTCTTCACAATAAAGAATTGACCAAAACATCATGTAATTTAATCATGTGGAGCTGGAGTGCAAGCAGGGGTATTGCTCGGCCATGATGGAATATTCTAGCAATTAAAAGCAAGCAGTATAATTACACCTTGAAATGTGTTATGTTGAGATCCAAATATGTAAGTATAACCCCGGGAAGCCAAGACCAAGATTCTTTAAATTTGATTTTCAGCATATGCATACAAAGTGAATGACTATAAAACTTTTGTTATATTAATCAAACCACTAATATGAGTTGCACAAACTATAGGCAAAGAGATGTAATACAAAACTGCCAACTATCACATTGCAATAGTTTCTTAGAAAACTCAAATTTCAATTCAATATTAATCAGATTGTTTTTTTGAAAACAGGAATACTAAAACTTATAATGGACATTCTGTACAAGTATCGGCCATCAAATTAAATATAGAAACCTATATTGTGAAAGTAACAGTTTTTACCATCACATGAAAGGCTACAAAATTTTATCTCTTATGCAATGTTATCTAAAATGTGCATCCCCTTGTTTGCCAATATGGAAACAGGCAATTCATATTGACAACCTTGGTTCTCAACCCGCTTAAAGCTACACTCCTTTCTCTAGCTTAGGATTAACTTGTGACTAAACTTTGCCATCGCTTCCCTAAAAACCTTGCCGACATTGTTAACTAAATATCTTTAACCGACCCCTACGTCATTTCTAGCATGAAAATGCTCCAAAATAGCATGTATTCGAGAATAAGGAGATTCGGTAGCTAAAAACTAAGTCTCAGAAAATTGTTAGGCATATAACTTAATGTTTTACATTTGATCTAGAAATGCAGATATCCCAATTGTCAAAAAAGTTAATTAAAATATCTCAAAGAGATTTCTAAGTGCTTTTCAACATTTTATGTCCAGCCTAGAAAGTAGTTAGCTTTAGTTAAAAGAAAATGCGATGAACTAAAACAATGGGAAATGCAGATGGGAGGAAATTTCATATTACGAAGAGATAGCAAAACCAAAATAATTAATGGAAAAAAATAAAATCATAATATGTTTTGACACATTTTATTTCCCATCTTAGATAGGTAATAGTTGAGCAAACTGTATTCTGACGGTAAATCCTAAATGTCAAGATCCAAAGTTTATCGTTGTTTGCATTTATCTAAACAGAGAAAGTAATCAGAATATAATCACTATACATATCCTAAACCAGAATGGTAAACACTACTCCAACGATGTTAGGGGGCATCATTTTCTTTAACGCTCCTCCATGTATAGTACACAATTTTTTAAACAACGAGCAAGAATTGTTAGGTTCCACTTACCTACATGGTGAATGTACACCTGAATGATCATTCCCTTTTCATTTACTCAATAAAATTCACTGTGAAACTATGACCCCACAGAATCAAAAGAAAACTAAAGCAAGCCACAACAATCAGATACACTGGGAAGATTTATCCAAGTATTACAGATGGCATGCTAAGCACATAAGGTTCACATAAACCAAATTATACAAAATGTAAGACAGTCTGTATATAAATATGTACCTCCAACGCTGTTGTGGTTGGAGCAGCCGGCCACTGCCCGGGCGAGCACGGGCAGTGGGTCGGGAAGGGGCTGAGTGAAGGGTATCAAAGGCATGCATACGCACACAGTTGATGTAGTCCCGCCGTCTATACCCAATATCACTTTACGGCCACTGTGAGTCATCTTATTAACATTAAATATACTATTTTCACGAATAAAAGCACCACCAACTGCAATCTTTTCATGCTCAAAATCCCAGATTTCTCCATTTCTGTACCGCTTCATTTGTCCAATTTTTTAGTAGTTTTTACAAATTTCGAATAGGAGAAACCAAAAACAAATCAGGACTCGATAGACAAAGAGACTTGGGTTTGAAGTGAGAAATTGGTGGGATTAAATTAGTGGAATTTGTGAATAGAATACTGGGACGGCAACAAAAGGCCAAATGCTTGAAGGTAGCTGTTTATGCGTGTAAGAATTGACGAGTGTGCTTTGAATAATCATGTTTTGATTCGAACACTGCAGATTAATTTAATGATGCAAAAACTGCCGTTTTGCCATGAATGGTAGTATTATAATTCATAAGGCCTTTCGTGAATTACCAATCAAATTAAAATTGAGAAACGTGCAAGGGAGATAACCCCACCTTTGAAATTGTGTAGTCGGGCTTTTGAATTTTCTTTCTTGTCGTTTAGGTCTTCAAACTTTCTCAACTGTAAGAAAGTTGGCGTGGGGTGGTATTCGAATTAGAATAATGCTATTTATGTCTTGTTTGGGAATTTTTTTTTCAGAATTTAATTTTGAAAATTTTTATTTTTAACTCACATTTTATTTAATTAATTTTTTATCCACCTTTTAATCATACTACTCAAAGTTGAACGTACATACTACTCAAAGTTAAATGTGCATTGCACGTTATTCTAAAATACTTTATAAGTGATGTAAAAGTAATATTTAGTACCAATTTGTCGGATGATTTGATAAGTCTTGGATGAATTAAAAAAATAAAATTTAATATAAAAATTTATGAGAAGAAAATTGTACTCTAAAAACTCAATTTCTATGATTCAATTTTTTGTAGTGATAAAACACTATAAATGAGTAATTTTTTTATATTAGATTTGATATATAAACATTAATTATTAATACATAAATTTAAACACTCATTAAAATTTTTGGATACATGAATGTGAATAAATTTATCTATAATAACTTTATATTCATGTAATTCAAAATTCATCAATTGAAAATTTATTGAATTTAGGTTAATGTGAATGTTAATTAATTGAGAATTAATAACACAAATTTCATAAATGATAATAATTATGTAGTAATTATTACATGTCGAAAAACTAAAAGTAATGTATTATTGAAACAATTAAATTGCGGGGGTTAAAATCGACAAAAAATGATTCTCCCCACGTTATTCTAAAATACTTTATAAGTTATGTAAAAGTAATATTTTGTACCAATTTGTCGGAGGATTTGATGAGTTTCAGACGAATTAAAAAAAACAAAATTTAGTATAGAAATTTATGAGAAGAAAATTGTACTCAAATTATACTCTCAAAACTCAATTTCTATACTTTAATTTTTTTTATGATGAAACACTATAAATGAGTAATCTTTCTATATTACATTTGATATTTAATAATTAATTATTCATATATAAATTTAAACACCTATTAAAATTTTTGGATACATGAATAAATTCATCTATAATAACTCTATATTCGTGTAATTCAAGATTTATCAGGTGAAAATTCATTAAATCTAAATTAATGTGAATGTTAATTAATTAATAACACAAATTTCATAAATGACAATAATTATATATTATTTATTACATATCGAACAACTAAAGGTAATGTATTGTTGAAACAATTGAATTGCAGGAGTTAAAATCATTCAAAAACGATTCTCTCTTGATGTGTTATTTTAATAAATTATAGATATTTCATGGAACTCATCAACTTCTAATCTCAAAAAGCTTTTCAAATAGAGGGTAGCCCCAGGGATGGAAACTTGCGATTATAACTAATTGACTTTTTTTCATTTTTAATTTAAGTAAACAATAAAGATAAAATAAAACAATTAAGGCTAGGTACCTTGTTTTCAATCAACCTTACATTTATCTCCTAACGCTTAGCCCCTGTTTGGAAGACATTTTTTTGTCAGAAAAATTCATTTGTCTACCGTTAGCACCAAAAGCAACTTTTTTTTTTTTTTTTACCAGTACACTCTTATGTGGGGCCCAGGTGACCAAAAAAGGATCCAAAAATTACTTTTCTTCTTCCAAAAAAATCCTCCAAACAGGGGCTTAACATCAATCTAAGTGGAGCGTATTTAGTTTTATAAATGGTGGACTCGAAAGCCAGCAACGTGACCCTTAAAGGCAGGAATTCCCCTTCCCTGGCATCCCAACTAATCCGTCTAATCGAACTTAGACGAATGGCTTATCCAATAAATTCTCACTTTCTGATCATACAAAATAGTAGTAATAAAGCCTACTCCTCTTCTTTTTCTATAATTATTATTATGATTATTAGCTATTTCTTATCCTCTAATTCATTTACTTCTTATTAAATTGCAATTTTAACCTTGAAATAGCTTTTTGTACCGTTAGTCTCATGACCCCTTACAAAGTAAAACCATGTAAAGATGCTAGACTAACAGGGTATTTGGACGGCGCAGGCGCCACGGGCCGCCCTATCCAATTCCCTGTCCAAATACCCTGTTTGGGTGGTTTTTTCCAAAACCAAGAGGCTTGACTAAGAAATCCATTTCAGATTCTCGAATTCATGTGATAATATTTGACCCTCATTAAATCTCATCAATTAGCCTCTATTTTTTGGAAATAAAAATGGGTGGAATAATTTTTTTTTTGAAAAAATAGTGGTTGAAAAGGAAAGAAAAATTTCGATTTGTATGTAATATTATTTTATAGAAAATTGTGTAGTTAAAAATAGGAAAGGGAAAAATTAAATGGAAGGGAATGAAAATTAATGGGGGCTAAATTAAATTTTTATATTCCCTATTTTTAATCACACAATTTTCAATAAAATAATATTATACGTAAATCGAAATTTTTCATTTTTTACAAACATTCATTTTTCAAAAAATTACTATTCCCCCATTGTAATTAAAATCAATGGGGGCCAAACGGAGGCTTATGATGATGAAATTATAAGGATTAGATCCTGAAAGAAAGATTGAAGCAATCGTTAACGTCAAGTTTAAATTACTCTAATTATTTGGGAGCGCCTGCAATTCATTCTAACATTCCAAATCATATATCAATTTAACATTAAGTCTTCATCGTTTTTATAACTTTTGGATTACTTAACGCTGTGTTTGATTAAAGATTCACACATACTTCCCATGTCTCAATTATATACGTTTATTTTATTTTTCATACGAATTAAGAAATCTTTTTTAATGTCATTGAAAAATTCATTTTTGTCAAGATTTTTCCTAATTTATCCCTATTTAATTTTCAGTATGTGGTAGTAAATTATTGTTGAAATTGGTAAATAATTTAAATGATTTAATTTGAATAAGAAGAAATGAGAATTGTTTCACATTTCTAAGAAGTGGGAAATGTGTGTATTTTGACGATTTCAAGAAGTTGACATATTAAGTAGGAAAAATTGAATAATGATATATTGGTAAAGAAATAAAACAAATTATTCTAAATTAGAAACATGCTTCTATATTTGGGACAAGAGAAAAATGAAACTCAACCTATATAATTGGGACGAAGGGAGCATTTATTTGCTCGCAGAGAGCATGACATAAATATGATAGTATTTAGTCCATGTCCGTTTCTCATTTTTAAGTAATAATGTATTTTGAATTAGTTAATTTGTGAAAATGTGTGGTTAAGAATTAAGAAAATGTTTTAGTTTTGCGTATAATATTATTTTATTGAAAAACGTGTAATTAAAAAGAAGAGAGAGAAAAATTTATTTTGAGAAAAATGGATATCAAAGAAGGGCTTAATAACATTGACAAATGATGATGATGATCGAGTTTTCATCGTTAATTTCAGTCTATGTCTAACTTTTAGTTATTGACGAAAATTGGGTGTTCATCATTAATTTTAGTCATTATTTTAATTTTAATCTGTATTTAAATTTCATCTTTCTCTATTTTTTAGTTATTGCTTCCAATAAGGACGTAAGCCTTGATGGCAGAAAGATTTTTTTTTTAATTAAAATAAAATAGATTTCAGAGTTTTTCAATCTCTTAAATTCTTGGTATTGATATATAAAATTGACGAGTCCAATTCTTTGTATCGTGTATGAATCGATGAGTTTTTTATGCTAGATTCCTAATATTCTCAATAATCAACATAAAATATAAGGTAATTGTGTTGCGATATTCTTATGGAATCAATGGAACTTTGATACAAATGTTCGTTTTTATTTTTTATACGCTTTCATTTCCACACTAATTGGTATCAGAGCAATGTTCGTTCTTGATAGATACAAGTTGGTTTTCGTGAAATCAAATAACGGAAGATCTAATTTCAGACGAAACCCTTTTTATACCTCAATAATATAGGGATGGAAAAATCTTTGAATTTCAATTACGACTTCATGTAATGCCGTTTATAATGGGCCTCCGACTGTCAATGAAGACATTGAGGAATTTTTTTATTTGGATATGGAGAATCCAATAATGTTCCAATTTCTCATAACGAATCACATGTTGAAATCTTTGAAGATTTGTCCAAGAAATCCACATCATTAATTTGAGTCTTGATCTAATTTGAAGATTTCTTTATAGAGAGGAATGCTAAAATTTGAGTCTTCATCATTAATTTAGTCTTTATCTAGTTTTTAGTTATCGTAGAGATTGAGTTTGTATCATTAATCTTAATCAACATCTTTAATTTTATTCTTTATCTAGTTTTTTGGTTATTGTGAAGATTGGGTGTTCATCATTGATCTTAGTCATTATTTTAACTATAATCTCTATCTAGATTTAGTCTTTATCTAGTTTTTAGTTAATTGTTTTAAATAAGGGCCGTAAGTCTTAATTGAATCGAAATAAAATAGATTTTGGAGTATTTCAATCTCTTAAATTATCGATATTTGATATTTAAAATTAACAAGCCCAACTCTCTTTATTCATGTGGTAATTGAAGAGTTTTTCCCATCTAAATTTTTAGGGATAGACATAGTTCAATATGGTTCTAGTTCTAGGAGAACTTAACCGAACCATAAACCAATGATTTTCTTGATAATAGAACCAAATTGTTTTTTTAAAAGTATGGAACAAAACCGAACCGATCCATTCAGTTCTGATTTGGTTTAGTCTAGTTCTAGTTCTATTACTTAAATTTTTAGACTTACACCATATACACAACTTAGTAATATATACTTAAATAAAAAATATTAGTACCAAACATTTAGCAAGTTTAAATTATCAATCATCAAGATTTGAAAAGTTCAAACTAACGAACAAAATATAAACAAATGCTTCTTTGCCAAAAGTTAATAATATCAAGTTTTATCTTTATCATCCGTCCAATCAATTCATTTTCATGAAACCACCAAATCTACATGCTTTGTTTGAGGGATATGTAGGGCAGCGTTTGAGACTCTTCAGAGTTTA